GGGGCGTGTTCCGTGGCGTCGTGGTCTGTCCGGTCCGTGGGAAATTGTTTCGGTTCACGGCAACAAGCTGGTGCTGCGTTCCGTCCCGGGCATCACAGACAAGGATCGCCAAGGCCCTTTTGAAGCTCACGCTGAAGATTGTGTTATAGTCCCAGGAGACGTTGAGGAGCGTCTTCCTGTTGTGGAATTGGATCTGTCGCAAGATGCGCAAGGTGCTGCCCCTTCTCTCGGCCAACGAATGCATGGTCAAGGTGAGCAGTACGAGTTCGTGATGCAACGCAGGGGTCGCCAATTCGTCCTTCGTATTGGGGATTCTGTGGCGTACACCCGTGGAGCCAAGGTCTGCAAGTTGGGCAGGGTGACCCAGGTATCCGTCGCAGAAGGTACCATTGGGGTTCACGTCTACAGGCCTCTGATCGGCTCCCTCCGAGTCAAATGGGTCCTCGCTTATTTGGATGAGCACGGAGAAGTGTCTGCAGATGGCACCCGTCCGTCCTTGGACCAGGTCCGCCTGAAGGAAGTTATCACCAAGGCCGACATCTCCAAGGATGGCGTGCTCGCAGCTGCTACTAGCCGGAAGCTGGACAAGGCTGGCTATCGCCTTCACGAAGATGCAGTCGGCATCGCCGAAACCGCCGAGCTGAGGGCCGTCCAACCTGTGGCGGGCGTCCTCGTCTTCGAGACGCCGCCCAGCAGTGTGGTAGCCGCTCAGGGGCCCGTCGAAGGTCTTCATCGCTGGTTGATCCAGCACGGCCGAGCCTCCAAGGTGGTTTTCTTGGAAATTGGCTCAGAAACTGCAATGCTGACCTCTGTAGCGCGCTCTTTGGGTCTTGTGTGTGCTCCAGCTGTTAACGGTGGGAGTCCGTCCTATGGTCGAAGTTGGGATCTGACCCAGGTGCTGGATCAGGAACTAGTAAGTCGGCTGATCGAGTGGCTAGAGCCGCTGGTCATTCACATCAAGCTGCCTTCCGAGCGCTCTGCTGGGCCTGGGGCTGATGTGGTGGCGATACTTAAGGGTCAGCAAGACCAAGGGAGGCTGGGGACCTTGGAAGTTCCTCTTCACTCTGAAGTCGTCGGTGCAAACGATTTCGTCTCTGCTTTTGGCCCTCTGCGCCAACCGGCTAAACCATGGAACGTGGTCAGGGTAGACCAGTGCCAATATGGTTTGGGTGTCGAAGGTGCGCAGTTGTGGCTAGCCAACTACGATTTGTCCGAGCTGAGTGCCCGTTGTGGTCGGCCAGATGCTCTTTCTGCTACTGAACATGTGCATGACTCTGGCCGCTCGGACGACCAGAAGGGAGACTACACGTCGGTCTGTTGTAGTACTTACTGGCGGTTGACCAAGCAAGCACTTCTAGCTCGCAATCTCCAGATACGAAACCTGAAGAGGTTGGATAGTTCCAGCTTCGCCGCGGCACCGATTGGGTTTCCCGTCGACGCGCGGTCCTTGCGAGGAGACGTATTCGCGGTATCTGGCGGTGGATCCGCCGATGCGCGGGACATGGAAGCTGCGAAGATCCCCGACCAGGACGTGAACGTTGGTCCGGATCTTTCGCCTCGGAGTCGGGAGAAGCTCGAGCAGGAGCTTGCAGAGCTGCATCAAAGGATGACCAAGCTGTGGGACGAAAGAGCGTCCAAAGGTGACTGGGATGGAGTCAAAGCGGATCTTGCTGTCTACCGTCTTAGCGGACAGGAAGTGGTAGATGATCCGAGGAAGACGCCTGAATACCGGAAGCAGGTTGTCGATGGACTTGGATTTGGTGTTGACGCGACACCTACTTCGGGATTGAATGCAGACGATCTCGGGGCCTGTAGAGATGTCCTATCCAGGAAGGCGGCGGCTTTTTGGCTAGAAGGCACGCCAAGGACTACGGTCCGAAGCGTTGCCCATGATTGCGTCCCAACAGGACCCCCGGTATCGCTTCAACCCCATTCCCTCAAGGGAGAAAGTGCAGCGTGGGTGGATGAGCGATTGGAGGAAGAGGTGCAGCGTGGCCAATTGGTCCGTGGAGCGTCTGCCTGGGGTTCCCCACCATTTCCGACAAAGGAGGCACCAGCCCACAAGAGGAGTCGCAAGAGACGCCTGGTGGTAGATTACCGGCGCGTAAATGCCCGGGTGCTGAGGAGCACATACTACTGCAGGAAGGCAACGGACGTCCTGTCCCAATGTGCGGGGTCCATCTGGTATTCCTTCGTGGATGCGGTCACGGGGTTCAACCAAATCGAGAATACCAGAAGGGCTATGGAGGTGCTAGCCATCGTAGCACGCTCTGGCAAGTTTCTCCCCGTTTGCCTGACGTTCGGGCCTGTGAACGGGCCGGATGATTTCTCCTACGTCGTGGACCGCGCTTTCGGTCCAGGACGAGGCAGGCAAATGAAATATACCAAGGAGTGGATCGCCTATGTGGACGATCTCACAGTGCGAACGGGAAGAGTCATAGACAAAAAGTTCATGACTGACAAGGAATTCGACGAAGAGATCAAAAGAGCGATGCGCGCCTCACCTGTAGGAGTCGGTCAACCCCCAAAGGAAGCTATGGATGCCCTAGGTATCAAACCAGGGAATGTAGGTTCGACCCCTAAGGTTAAGCATGACGAAAAGGAATCGGACCATAATCACCCCACCAGAGCTGTAGCGCGGTCTGTAGGGCGGCTTTCCCCCACGACGCGTTTTGGTGGTCGTGGTTCCAAGGTTGTGTTAGGTTTCCTGGTCGTGAGGTTGGTCAGGTCCAGGTGGTTGGTTAGGTCCAGGTGGTTGGTTGGGTCCAGGTGGTTGTCTGGGTCCAGGTCTGGTTTCCCGCAGCTGTTTGGCTCGAAGCCCAGCTTCCGGGTTGGGTCTGGGTTTGGTGAGCAAGTCGGTGGTCGCGTGGTTCGGTTCGCCAGCTGCCGAAGGACCGGAATACCAAAGCAGGGGAAACCCTTCGCGGGTCAGGTTAGCGTTTCGCGACCTGACCGCGAAGCCGCGGGTCGAGTGTGCGGTTCGCCACTCGACCGCGGCACAATGGCGTCGTGGAAAAAGGCGCACCGTGGTCGAAGGAACCCGCAGAAGAATTGGGGCGACCTGGAGTATGCCCTGACGCGGGCCCTCCGACATGGAGAATACGGGATGCGTGGCCAGTTGCAAGCGGATGGTTGGGCACCTATCCGTCTGGTTGCGGACCGAGTCGGAGTCACGGTCGAAGACGTGAGGAGGTCTGCAGAGTGGCAAAGCCGCGGTCCCAAGGTGCGCCTGGAAAGTCTTGGGGACTGGGTGCGCGCCTTACAGGGCCACTCCTCGGACAGCGGGCTTCGACCTCATGACTTCACCAGCAAGGTCAGCCTGCCCGGTAGCACGAGACTCCTGCATGGCACGTTCAAGGAGCGTGTTGCCGGAATAGCAGAAAAGGGGTTGCTTGCTGGCGGAACGGGTCGAGTCGGAGAAGGGCGGCTGTTCGTCCACTGGTCCGCCAACGCGGAAGGGGTCGAAGGCAATAAAGCAGGTGTCCGAGGCGGTGCAGATGTGGCTGTTCTGTCTACAATAGACGACCTGCGCGACGCCAGTTGCTCCCTCCGCCAAGGAAAGGATGGAGTAATCCTGTCGTCTGATGTTCCGGCCAGAGCATTTGAAAGCATCCGAGTCTACTACCATGATTCGGGAGGTCTCGGAGCGACCTTGTGGACTCCGGATGTAGGCTTTGCAGAAGCAGAGCCGCTGCCAACAGGAGATTCGTATGATACGACAAGCTCCTCTTCGGAAGGTGAAGCAGAGGGCACTCCTCGACCTGAGGGGCGTGCAACTGGACCAGAACAAGCAAGCAGTTCAGGGGTCGTTCGCGACTCACAAGGGAAAGAGGTCGTTGCACCCGCGGCTCCAGATGACGGAAAGGATGTCAAAGAGGAGTCCCCTGTCGGTATAGACTTCGAAGAAGTCAAAGAGGAGTCCCCTGTTGATCCAGACTTCGAAGAAGTAAAGGAGGAGTCCCCTGTTGGCCCAAACTCCGAAGAAGTAAAAACCGAGGAGGAGCCCCCGCGGGCCGGGTCTGCGCCTTCGCGGCCTGGTCGCGGAGAAGAGAGCGGAGAGCCGAACCGCCAACGTGGTGAAATGTCGAAGGAAGAGCTGCAGGATATCTGGTCGTCAAGCCGTCGGACGTGGGCTCAGAGGGCGGTGGAGAACACGCTGGCCGGGGTTGCAGTTGATGAGTTGACCCACCAGTTCGGACGATCTCCAGCCCTCTCGAGACTGGTCGAGAAGCAGAAGGATCGCCCCACAGAAGGAGGTGAGCGGGAGCTGGATCGCAACATCAAGGCAATCACGGCAAGCGCAACTGCTACTGCGGTGATTCGCCGCCGAGCTGGGAAACCAGAGCCTACGTACGAAGCCTACGAGTACGGAAAGGCGGTCGCCAAGACTGTGGAAGGCGCCGACGATAGGCTCGAAGCGGCGTTGGCTCCTGGAGTCGCTCAACCCTCAGTCCAAGGGGCGGACTCGAGGTTTGCAGCAGGAGTAAGGGCTCAAGAGCCTATCCGCCAGCTAAAGCGGGAGCTGCGTGCGCGGAAGCGGGCCGCGTTGCACCGCAAGGAGGTGGGTCAAGACGATGCTCGCCGTCGGTTGGAAAGGCAGGCGGCGGCTGGAGTACCGCGCCTAGCAGTGGGCGCAGCCTGGCACGTCGATGATGGTGTGCCGGAGCTGACGTACGCGGCCGGCAGCTGGGAGTGTGACCTTTGTGGAACGGTCGCACCGCCCGACAGTGACGTCTGCGTGGGATGGTCCAAGGGATCAAGGTGCGAAGGGACCTATGCTGCCAACTTCCGAGCTTGGGCTAGAAGCCGACCTGCGAAGGGTCAGAAAAGGAGTCGTCGCACTGCTCTGGAGGCGGCTCTCAGGTCCTCGCAATGGAATTGTGCCAGGTGTCAGAGCGAGAACCTCGCCTTCAGTGTGCTACAAGTGCAGCCGTGCCCGACCTGAGCATGACCTGCCGTCTTCAGATGAAGATGACGAGGTCGGTCGAGGATCCCAGGCCATGGGACCTACGGGATTTCAAAGGGAAGATGAAGCCCGGCACGGTCTCCACCTGAGGTCCAAGAAAAAGAAAAGGGGTGGCGCCAAGCACAAGAAAAAGGTCGGCCGACGCTCAGGTGTGGCAAAGCGCCTTCACAAGGTGGCGCACGCGGCGGGGTCTGCGTATTCGCGACCTCGCGCGGGTAGCCAGAAGGCGCACAAGAAGGGTAAGAAGAAAAAGCTTAAAAAGAAGGTGTACTCTTGGTCCATCAGCCGGAAGAGCCGTAACCAGACCAAGAGAGCCTCCAACGGGAATGGTTGGAACCTTAACCAAATGGCAGGAGCGTTTGCCATCCTGATGGCTTTCCCGGTTCTGAAGGAGTCAGAAGAAGTGGTCGCGGTCACTTCGGAGGCCATCCAGGATGCGATCTCCACCACTGTGGAAACCTACCAGGAGATCGTGACAGAAGGCGGAAATCAGCTCAAGATGCTGATCGCCGCCGCAGGCATCGCCCTCCAGGTAATGATGACCTGGTACCTGTCCAGTAAGGTTCTGAACTTTTGGTGCCGCTATGGCCACGGGAATACGGACAAGGCCCATCTCGTGGAACTGCGAGGAGAGGTCACCTTGTGGGACGTGGCCGGCACCAAGGGTCTTCACAGGGTGCGGATAGCAGGTCGGCAGGCAGGGTGCGCTTGCCGGACGTTCTTGAGCAAAGGAAGCTGCCCGCACACCCAAGCAGCCTTGGCAGCGCTGACTGCGCTTCCAAGTAGGCCAGAACAACCCGTCGCTGTGCGACGCGGCCAAGCAGCATTGGGCCAAGCAGGCTCTGTGGCTAGCTTTTCTGGCTGTTTCCAAGGACTGGTCGGAAAGGCCAAGCAGCTGACAGTGAGCGCTGCGTCCGCCTACCCAACGGCCCAGGAGGCCGCAAGGAGTTCAGAAAGGGATGATGGTGCGTTCAAAAGGAAGGTCATCAGGGAATCCCTCAGCCTCGATACTGGGTTGGTCGAAGAAAGGCCTGAGCAAAGCCTGTTGGCGCTGCCCGAACATGCCCACCACAGTGGAGACGGAGACCAAGCCAAGGTAGTGTTCCTGAAGGATGGCGAGGTCTTTGAATGGATCACGATCAATTTTAGCAAGCTGGGCAAGGGCAGCAAGGCTTGCATTAGGGCCTACAGTTTCGATCAGCCGGACGTCGTGGAAGCCGTTAGGTCAGCAGCAAGCCGTGGCTGCGATACCTACCTAGTCTGCGATCGTTCGCAGGCGTCCGGAAAAACCAAACAGCAGCTTCAGGTCCTGAAAGAATTGAGAAGTGTAGGGACCAAGGTGAAACTGGCTTCGGGTCTAGGCGTCAATCAGGCCTACCGCAGTGATGGTCGCTCCGTGCGCGTTGGCAGCCGACTCCAAGGGCTTCATCACGCGAAGAGCGTCATGATCTGGTGCCACCCTGGAGACAAGGTCGATATGTTGGTTGGAAGTTGTAACTTCACCACGAGCTCGAAGGCCAACAAGGAAGCCAGCATAGGTATCAGCGTAAACTTTGGAACAGAGCTGGTCCGTCGCTGGGAGTCAGCCTTCGAAGAAGCATTTGAAAATGGTTCGAATATCGACCAGTTCGAGACAGAGCAAGGCTTCGACCGGCGCAGGGTCGGCACAGCCAGTTCAGCTGCTGAAGTTCAATAAGGGGAAGATTGAAATCTGGTGCAGTATGGCATCGCATTTTCAGTCTGCCTCGCGGTGGTGTCTGCGTATCGCGACACTACGCGGTGGACCGCACTTGAAAAGCTGGCTTTGCACGTGGCTGAACCCAGCTGAGGGGCGAGTGTAGCTAGACGTAGCTAAGCCGTGCAGTAGGTCCACCGTAGCTGTCTTTTGTGTTTCACTTGTTGCGTTTTACAGTGTGCAGTGTATGCCTTTTGGCTCAAGTGGCTCGTTAGCTTAGCGTAGGCGTAGCTGCTTGCAGGGTCGTCTCGACCGCCGCCCGCGACTTGCACGCGTGGGTGAAAACAGCTGAGCGGCCGGGGTCCGTCTCGCCCACAGTATGTTGGTATGTTGGTATGTTGGTATGTTGGTATGTTGGTATGTTGGTATGTATGTATGTATGTATGTATGTATGTATGTAATGTATGTAATGTATGTAATGTATGTAATGTATGTAATGTATGTAATGTATGTAATGTATGTAATGTAGGTAATGTATGTAATGTATGTAATGTATGTAATGTATGTAATGTATGTAATGTATGTAATGTATGTAATGTATGTAATGTATGTAATGTATGTAATGTATGTAATGTATGTATGTAAGTATGTAATGTATGTAATGTATGTAATGTATGTAATGTATGTAATGTATGTAATGTATGTAATGTATGTAATGTATGTAATGTATGTAATGTATGTAATGTATGTAATGTATGTAATGTATGTATGTAATGTAATGTAATGTAATGTTATGTAATGTTATGTTATGTATGTATGTATGTATGTATGTAGTCTTTCAATATATGTTCGAAGATTAAAATGTAGAATTCTTTGAAAAACTACTTAAAGATAAATTAACTAAATAATATATATACTATTATATGATGAAAAAGGTTATAAACTATTTATTGAGTAGTGATTTAGCAGAAAAACCAAAACGAGGAAGAAAAGAATTAAAGTCAATAATAATAGATGATAAAAAATTTAGATACAACAAAGACAAACCAATATCTACGGTCTTAACAAAGAAACTACTGACGGTCAAGAAAACTAATAAATACAGAAGTTATGCTTTAAACAAGGCAAAAGATGCGTTCAGTGAAGGAAGAGTGAGACAAATACTAACCAAACACGCAATCAGAAACAAATTTAGGGTCAGAGATATTCAATCAGCATTTAGGAGATATGCTAATTCAATAGTTTTAGAAAATAAACACTTTGAAGGAGAAAGAGGACTGGAAATGATTGCACACCAAAAACCAAGACTATTGGAGTCTTTGAGAAATAATAGAAGCATGAAACTTAACATAAGAACGGAAACATTTTTTGAAACACCTGAGTATAATGATGGAGGAAATGAAATTGGCAGTCAGGAACTTGTATATGCTCTACCATCAACACGCTTCAATATTAGTAATGAGGATGAGCTGACACAAGCATTAGAAGACAGTGTTAAACAAATCTTATTACAAATACAAAATTTAGAAGCATCAACCACTAATCTTGCAACCCCAAAACTTGCTGGTGAAGATGATGATTTGGCCAATTCAATATTTATAGCTTTCTGGGCCTTGAATCTTGACACACAACCATATATTCTCTGAGATGCTTTATCAAGCTCAGGTTTCTCAGGCTTGAGGCTTTGAAGAGATCTTTGGATGCGAACTGCTGCCATTATTTTGTTGGCGGAAATACTTCGCCCCATGCCCACATGGAATGCATAATTTTGTGGAATTCGCAAAGTTGAAGAAGGGTTAAGCCATGCTAAGCCAAGCCATTGTTTATTTTTTGCGCATTGTCAGTGTCTCCCGCTCTTTTCCGTTGATTCACTTTCTTAACTGTTTTTATATCAACACCGATTGTTCCCATTTTTTGTGCTTAAAGTCCCATTCATCCCTATTTCTGTTGGCTGAATCCCCATGAATTCCAATTCTTGTTGGTTCAGATTCCCATGCTTAAGGAGGACCTTCTGATTGTGCTTAAACCGCCAGTCTCGTAGGTTAGATCTTCTTTTTGCATCGTAAAGCCCAATCCTCATTTTCGTTAGCGAAATTGCAATTCTTGACGTTTTTTTTTCCCATGATTTCATTAGAAATGGATGGGACAATTTACAGTACCCGGTACCCCTTATAATTTACTGGTAAACACCATTCAAAAACCATTAAATCAATGGTGAAAAACCATTGGAAATCCATGGTTTCCGAGTAAATCCTCGCACCGAGGATTTCCTCACGGAGTCGGACCAGACCACTGCCACCGAAGTGGTCTGTGGCTGAGGGTTGAATCATTTCGGAAATGAGGTGACCAACAAACAACAAAAATCATATGGTCATATGGAGGTTTCCTAAAATGGGAATAACCCCCCACATCATCCATGAAATATTTTCGGATTTTCCATGAAATAAACCATCCAGCTATTGGGGTACCTCCATTCATGGAACCCCCCATATGAAGATCTAGCACATCATTTTTTTTTCCCGCCAATGTTCATGTTATTGTACCTAACCAACTGAAAACAACAACCATTATTATGGTTTGTTCCCTTCAAAAGATGGTCAACAACCTTGTTTCTTAATCCAACAACACTGTGTGTTGTCTCCAACAAACATGACCACCACGTTCAGTTCTACCCAAAGAAAATGTAAGTTTTGGAGAATTTGAACCTCATGAACAGCTTTTTGCTCAACATGATAAACAAAAAGGGGGGTACTGCCCATACAAAATGATCAAGAACACCAACCACTTTGAATTCACAAATCAAGGCTTCTGCCAACCCCAATTCGAATAGTGCCAGGATCATGTGCTTGCAACGTTTCTGAGGTCATGTTCTTAAGAGAGCTGATCGCTAATTACACTGCCTGGGGCCTAGAAGCACGTGATATTTGTGCCATGTGAGGCAAGATTTTGCTGTGGATATATATATATATATATGTAGATGATGATTGGACGGACCAAGTTGTCTGTTCCATGAAACCACTGACGAGACCACACCACTAATACTAAGAGAAGACACGAAGAGTTCGCTTGAAACTTCCCCCGAATAGATCCAAGTCATAGCCTATGTTGGCATCTCAAAGCATGAGGGATTCCGGGTACCCCAAACTACCCCACGTCACATATGTCACATGATATTTGATGCTCTGTTTTTGTGTTTTTTCTTCAGAGATTGACCAAACATCCTCTGATTTTGGGGCCCTGAATTCCATTGATTCAGGATATGAGGATGCCGATCCTTCAACGCTTGGCCGAGTGTATTGGAGACGTTTCGCAGTCGCGGGTGGTGACCCCAGGTAGGAAGAGAAGATCTACAGTAGACTCAGACAGTAGACCATGGTGCTCACCACGAAGATATGGGTTTCAATGGATGGTTTTGAGGGAAGATCTAGACTCCCTGGGTTTTTAACATTAAACATGGCAGTTTCTTGTGGATTTGCCCTTCATTCAATTCTTGGAAAGATGTGTATTTTTCAACATACGCGCCGTGAAAGGCCTCATTTAAACAAGCTCTAATCAGCCGGATGGATTTGGGACGGCATGGATGGCAACTGAAGAACCCTGTGCTCATCCAATCATCCAATCCATGCTCTGTACCCATCTGCAGTGCTGCTTGGGATGCTGGCCGAGCCTCAGGTTTTGCGTGGCTGCCTATGGCTCTTCGGAGAATACTGTGAGGACCAGGCTGGAGCGGAATACAGAATTGACAATTGTCCTGATTACTTGACTTATCATTACAACTTTGTACGTGTATATATATATATACATATTATATTGCATTGCAGATATCACCACCACAACTACCAGATAGTGCCCGGCACGCGCCGGGGCAGAAGTTTCGAAAATAGGAAATGACTATAGGAAGAAGGAAACTTATAGAAGTTGAAGGAAGGAATGAATGAACGAATGAATGAATGAATGACTGAATGGCTGAATGAAAGACTGAAGGAATGAAGGAATGATGTCTGAGCTGCCTCCCAGCTATCTCTGCTGTAGCTTCTGCAACCCAATGATTCTCATCGCGAAGCTGTTACAATGCGTTTAGCAACCTTCAGCTGCAATCTCGCATAGCGGCCTGGCATTATCACTCATGCTATGCTGCACGCAGCCGTGCCAATGCGTTTTGTCCCAGCCGGTTGCAAACCCGCATAGCAGGAGAGCCGCACCAAATCGACCAAAATTTGTGCAGCATCAACAGCGGACTTTTCCGTCCTGCTCCGAACGTGCCAGTTTTCTTGATTTTTATATGGAATCGAGATCTCGCTTTAGTCTGGTGCACATTTTTCCAATCTGATCTTCCAAACGTGCCAGTATTTTAAAATCTTGAACTGCAAACTGAGCTCTCGCCATAGTCAGATCGACCCGCGGAACCGCGGAAACAGACATCCCACTTCAGCGACCCCGGAAGCCACTTTACCCCTTCCAAAAAACACAGTTCTCCGCTTCTTAAGTTTTTAGGAATTTTTATGTGAAATCGAGCTCTCGCTACACTCTGGTGCAAAATTTTGCCGACCTCATCTTCCAAAAGCATTCCGAACGTTAACATTTTGAAGCGCAAATCGAGCTCTCGTTGCAGTCTCGTGCACATTTTGCCGACCTCATCTTCCCAAAGTGCTCCGACCCCACCATTTTTGCGATTTTGAATGCAAACAAAGCTCCCGCCACAGTCCTGTGTACTTTTCTCCGACAACTTTCCCACATCGAGCCCCGAACTTGCTGAAACAGACAAGGTTACTTCGGCGACCGCGCCCGAGAGTGTTTTCACCCTTGAATTCATTTGTTCCGTACTCCTCCCACACGCAACCTGCTTTTGCTCACTTTGTTGTTACGAACTGCTTTTGCTCACTGTGTTGTTCACATGATGATGACATGATGAACATGATGACAAGACTGCCCCTGGACATTCGTCCATAACTCGGAAGTTTTCGAACTATACTTCTCTTGGCAATATTTGCATTTTTGCTATCATCATTGATCATTTCTATTGTTCCTGTCGTTACAATCATGTCTATCATGGTTGTTGTTACCAGTATCACCATTAATCCCTTCCTCCTAATACTAAACGTCCCCCCCACTATTACTAAACACGGCAGATAGTTTTTAGTATTAGGGGGGTATTTAGTATTAGGGAACCCTATTAATAAAATTAAACCCTGAATAATAAAAACTATTGTTTCCGATCTCAAAATCAATTAAATTTCCTTATATAACGCGATTAAAATATTGCCAAAAATTGGATTTCGAAGCTTCCCCCTAATATTAAATTAAAACCCTTAATACTAAAAAAGGTTTTTTCCGATCTCAAAATCAATTAAATTTCTTTATTTAACGCAATTAAAATATTGCCAAAAATTGGATTTCGAAGCTTCCCCCTAATATTACTTTAAATTACAACCCTTAATAATAAAAACTATTTTTTCCGATCTCAAAATCAATTAAATTTCTTTATATATAACGCAATTAAAATATTGCCAAAAATTGGATTTCGAAGCTTCCCCCTAACATGAAAATTAAAACCCTTAATAATAAAAACGATTTTTTTCCTTCTCAAAATCCATTAAATTTCTTTATATAACGCAATTAAAATATTGCCAAAAATTGGATTTCGAAGCTTCCCCCTAATATTAAATTAAAACTCTTAACAATAAAAACGATTTTTTCCGATCTCAAAATCAATTAAACTTCTTTATTTAACGCAATTAAAATATTGCCAAAAATTGGATTTCGAAGCTTCCCCCTAATATTAAATTACAACCCTTAATAATAAAAACTATTTTTCCGATCTCAAAATCGATTAAATTTCTTTATATAACGCAATTAAAATATTGCCAAAAATTGGATTTCGAAGCTTCCCCCTAATATTATTTTAAATTACAACCCTTAATAATAAAACTATTTTTTCCGATCTCAAAATCAATTAAATTTCTTTATATAACGCGATTAAGATATTGCCAAAAATTGGATTTCGAAGCTTCCCCCTAATACTAAATTAACAACCTTAATATAAAAATCTAAAAAAATCTGACGGACCCTAATACTAAACACCCCGGGGTTGACTAGTTTTTAGTATTAGGGGGGAAAACCCACAAATGATAGGTTGATTTTAAATTGTTTTCTAAAGGGGATCAATTAAAAGTCAAATTGGCCAAACTGAAATTTTCCGAAACTGGAGATGGACGCCTGTTTTTAGTATTAGGGGGACGTTTAGTATTAGGAGGAAGGGATTATTATTGATACTTTATTGTCATATTAATTCCTACTAGCATCAGTACCTATGTTTCTTGTTGGTACTGTTGCTACTAAATGCTACTAATGTTACTAACATCGTAAGAACAGTGGATATTCCTTGTGGTGCTACAACAATACAACAGCTTGTACATGATATTGTCTTATGGGTTTGTAATAGCTACTCTCAGTACCATCTGTGTGGTCATTCCAGTGGATTTCCGTAGATATCATTTTTCGGACACGGCTGGAGCTGCAGGCTCTGATCGAGAGTGTGATCCAGTCTGTGCTGACGTCCTTAAGGTGTGCCTATTGTGGGTTAAACGATTCGCGTGGTAAACCCAATGATTTGATTGAATCGTTTTGATTAATCATATTCGATTGTTATCGATTTTCCCGGATTCTCTTAATACTACCCAAACATGATTAATTATATTTTGATTGACCTAATTTTACCGTACCGTTTGGGGAGTTGCAAAAACAAGACACCCAAAAAGGGTCTACAGGGTTTTCCGCATTAAGGCCCAATCGCAGATGAACAGGTGATGTTTCTTTTCCAGCAATCTAATGATTTTATTGCTTTGGGCACCCGAATTCGACCCATACAGCGGGATTTCCGAGGCCGCTTCCACTGGTGCTAGACGATGGTTCCCAGAAAGAGAAGAAGGAGACAGGTCCTGGTGAGAAGAAGAAGGAACATGTGCCTGGGATGATCCAAACTGAAGTTTGGATGGTGGGTTCTTCCTCAAACTAGATGATCTAGATAGCCATTTCGAATGTTGATAGGGATGACTGCAGCGAGATCCAAGCAGTTGCTGGTTACAAAGGAAAAATGGGATGATTTCTGCCTGGTTGCTTCTGACTAAAAAACAGTTCTTTCTGTCAACAGTACCAAATATAGATGGTCTTATAAACTATTTTTCATCCTCTGTCATATTTTTATGACAACTTCCAAACCACAAAACCAGGTGAGGTCTGTGCAGCTGTTGCGGACCCTGAGTCACGGTGGTTTCAATGAGATCTGCCAATTGGAAGGAGAAGAAAGCGCCCAAGATCACCACAAAAACCGTGGTGTTGGCGGATGGCACCTATGGTCCCTCAACTGAAGGAAAGCTGAGACCATAGGGGGCATCTAGGGGACAGCAATGTTGAGCAACACCCGGACGATCCCTGTCATTCTGAGGCACGCAGAACGTTTACGAGGGTGACGAAGGACTGCCTGGGAAATGCACACTCGTGCCTGAATGGGCTTGGCCTGGTTCACATGCCATGTCGTAAACGTCTCTGACCACCCATATAAAGCACTTGGTAGATGTGTGATATCGATTCAAGTACTGCCAGGTATATTATTTGTGTCTCCTCCAAACGCAGCAAACCCATAATTACCCAGGCGAAGAAGAAGAGGAAGCGTCCGAAGAGAAGGGTAAGGCCGACGTCAAGAAGACGGCCTTCCGAACTCTTCTACTAGGCGCTGTTTCGTAGAGAGCGGGAGGAGATGGGTAGACACTGCTGACGCCGCCCTTGGGCTTTCTAATTCATTTGATTTCTAATATTTGAATGATTTTGAATGTATGTATATCCTGTATCATTCTGTATCTATAGCTGTATTTGTTGTTCTTCCTCTCCTTATTGTTGCTGTTGCTGTTGTCATTATTATTGTCGTGAAGGCGGTGATTTCCTCCTCTCGGCCATGGTTGGAGCCACTTGCACTGAAGTTGCAACATTTTCACACGGCAATTGGAGATGATGGGATAATTAAGACTGGGATAGCATTGGTTCATTTCAACACTATCTTTGGACCCGTGAAATCCGGTTTGTGAAGCTGCAGTTCAATGATATCTTGTAATGATTCAAGCTTGCTTGCCATGTGGAGCTGTTTTTTGTTCTTTTTTATGTGGATTTAGCTTGCTGAAAGGCAACACCAAGGACAAAGGACTCATGGACCACAATCATTATAGAAGCAGAAATCAGTCCATTTTTATGTGGATAGAATAGGTGCCAAGTGAATCACTCGTCATCGAGGAGCTTCTGTCCCTAGTTCACATTCTTGTGCCTTTCGTATCCTTTCGTCCCAGTTGACTTGGCAATTTCCAGATATTTCCAGGGTTTCTTTCCGCCATTTTCTGAGGTTTCATTGACAAAGCTTTGTCTGAAACTCAAGAATTTGCCGGTGACCTTGCGGAACGAGGCCCGTTTGAAATCCAATCGAGTTTTCGATTGGGCAAGTCGCCATGGCGATCCTAGAGCAGTCCTTCAAGCTGCATAGATGCCCGGATTTGAAGCCACAGGTGTTGCTAGTCATTGTGAACATCCTGAAGTTGGTGAAAAACCATGTCTGCGGTGGGGGCCTTGGAAACGGAGGCTTTTTTTTGCGACCAAGGTCTAAGCTGGATGTCATGTTGAGGCCTATGAATCAGTGAATTTCTCAGCAAATATGTGCATTGACTCAATGACCATCAATGACCTTGTTTCCTTTTTTGGTGCCACTTCAGCACGCTTGCGTGAAATTCTGATGGTGCTAATGCGTCCGAAGATGAATTCTTGATAGTCCTCGTGGATGTGTCGGCATGACTCATGCTGGGGCATTTGCGCTTGGTGGTCTGTCAAGCCAGACACTTCGGGAAAGCACTTTCCGCAAGACGTTTTGTTTTGCCCCGGCGTGTGCCTTAAGATCCCCTCTCCAGGTCCCACTTGGGCCCCGCCGGTCAGACGCCGTCGGACATTGGGAGGAGTTCGAGTCATACACGCGCAACAGGGTGCAGACACTCCTTCACAGGCGGATATTGCGCTACCTGAGGATGTTAGCTGTTAGCTTGTTGGCTGCTTGCATTAGCTTGTTGCCGGCTTGTGTGGGTGCTTGTGACGGTGTGTGATGGCTTGTAATGGCGTGGTAGGTACTGTAGGACATGAATGTTTTGGAGAATATTTTTTGGTTTGATGGAAGCAGGGTTGCATGACATGATAATGTTGCTAATGCATCGAAGATGAATTCTTGATAGTCCTCGTGGATGTGTCGGCATGACTCATGCTGGGGCATTTGCGCTTGGTGGTCTGTCAAGCCAGACACTTCGGGAAAGCACTTTCCGCAAGACGTTTTGTTTTGCCCCGGCGTGTGCCTTAAGATCCCCTCTCCAGGTCCCACTTGGGCCCCGCCGGTCAGACGCCGTCGGACATTGGGAGGAGTTCGAGTCATACACGCGCAACAGGATGCAGACACTCCTTCACAGGCGGATATTGCGCTACCTAAAGATCTTAGCTTGTTACCGGCTTGTTTTAGCTTGTTGGTGGCTTGTGATAGCTTCCTGCCAGCTTGTGTTAGCTTTATGCCGGCTGTGTTAGCTTGTAATGGTGTGAGATGGCTTGTAATGGCTTGCGACGACATGAATGTGTTCGAGAACAGTTTTAGGTTTGATGGAAGGATCGTTGCGATGACATGTTAATGGTGCTAATGCGTCCGAAGATGAATTCTTGATAGTCCTCGTGGATGTGTCGGCATGACTCATGCTGGGGCATTTGCGCTTGGTGGTCTGTCAAGCCAGACACTTCGGGAAAGCACTTTCCGCAAGACGTTTTGTTTTGCCCCTGCGTGTGCCTTAAGATCCCCTCTCCAGGTCCCACTTGGGCCCCGCCGGTCAGACGCCGTCGGACATTGGGAGGAGTTCGAGTCATACACGCGCAACAGGATGCAGAGACTCTTTCATAGACGGATGTTGCACTCCCTGAGGATGTTAGCTGTTAGCTTGTTGGCTGCTTGCATTAGCTTGTTGCCGGCTTGTGTGGGTGCTTGTGACGGTGTGTGATGGCTTGTAATGGCGTGGGAGGTACTGTAGGACATGAATGTTTTGGAGAATATTTTTTGGTTTGATGGAAGCAGGGTTGCATGACATGATAATGTTGCTAATGCATCCGAAGATGAATTCTTGATAGTCCTCGTGGATGTGTCGGCATGACTCATGCTGGGGCATTTGCGCTTGGTGGTCTGTCAAGCCAGACACTTCGGGAAAACACTTTCCGCAAGACGTTTTGTTTTGCCCCTGCGTGTGCCTTAAGATCCCCTCTCCAGGTCCCACTTGGGCCCCGCCGGTCAGACGCCGTCGGACATTGGGAGGAGTTCGAGTCATACACGCGCAACAGGATGCAGACACTCCTTCACAGGCGGATATTGCGCTACCTAAAGATCTTAGCTTGTTACCGGCTTGTGTTAGCTTGTTGGCGGCTTGTGATAGATTTCTGCCGGCTTGTGTTAGCTTTATGCCGGCTGTGTTAGCTTGTCATGGTGTGTGATGGGTTGTAATGGCGTGGTAGGTACGGTAGGACATGAATGCTGTGGATAATATTTTTTGGTTTGATGGAAGCAGGGTTGGAATGACATGTTAATGTTGCGAATGCATCCGAAGATGAATTCTTGATAGTCCTCGTGGATGTGTCGGCATGACTCATGCTGGGGCATTTGCGCTTGGTGGTCTGTCAAGCCAGACACTTCGGGAAAGCACTTTCCGCAAGACGTTTTGTTTTGCCCCGGCGTGTGCCTTAAGATCCCCTCTCCAGGTCCCACTTGGGCCCCGCCGGTCAGACGCCGTCGGACATTGGGAGGAGTTCGAGTCATACACGCGCAACAGGGTGCAGACACTCCTTCACAGGCGGATATTGCGCTACCTGAGGATGTTAGGTGTTAGCTTGTTGGCGGCTTGCGTTAGCTTGTTGCCGGCTTGTGTGGGTGCTTGTGACGGTGTGTGATGGTTTGTAGTGACGTGGTAGGACATGAATGTTTTGGAGAATATTTTTTGGTTTGATGGAAGCAGGGTTGCATGACATGATAGTGTTGCTAATGCATCCGAAGATGAATTCTTGATAGTCCTCGTGGATGTGTCGGCATGACTCATGCTGGGGCATTTGCGCTTGGTGGTCTGTCAAGCCAGACACTTCGGGAAAGCACTTTCCGCAAGACGTTTTGTTTTGCCCCTGCGTGTGCCTTAAGATCCCCTCTCCAGGTCCCACTTGGGCCCCGCCGGTCAGACGCCGTCGGACATTGGGAGGAGTTCGAGTCATACACGCGCAACAGGATGCAGAGACTCTTTCATAGACGGATGTTGCACTCCCTGAGGATGTTAGCTGTTAGCTTGTTGGCTGCTTGCATTAGCTTGTTGCCGGCTTGTGTGGGTGCTTGTGACGGTGTGTGATGGCTTGTAATGGCGTGGTAGGTACTGTAGGACATGAATGTTTTGGAGAATATTTTTTGGTTTGATGGAAGCAGGGTTGCATGACATGATAATGTTGCTAATGCATCCGAAGATGAATTCTTGATAGTCCTCGTGGATGTGTCGGCATGACTCATGCTGGGGCATTTGCGCTTGGTGGTCTGTCAAGCCAGACACTTCGGGAAAGCACTTTCCGCAAGACGTTTTGTTTTGCCCCTGCGTGTGCCTTAAGATCCCCTCTCCAGGTCCCACTTGGGCCCCGCCGGTCAGACGCCGTCGGACATTGGGAGGAGTTCGAGTCATACACGCGCAACAGGATGCAGACACTCCTTCACAGGCGGATATTGCGCTACCTAAAGATCTTAGCTTGTTACCGGCTTGTGTTAGCTTGTTGGCGGCTTGTGATAGCTTTCTGCCGGCTTGTGTTAGCTATATGCCGGCTGTGTATGGCTGTGTTAGCTTGTCTGGTGTGTGTTGGCTTGTAATGGCTTGTGATGACATGAATGTTTTGGAGAATATGTTTGGTTTGATGGAAGCAGGGTTGAATGATATATTAACGTTGCTAATGCATCCGAAGATGAATTCTTGATAGTCCTCGTGGATGTGTCGGCATGACTCATGCTGGGGCATTTGCGCTTGGTGGTCTGTCAAGCCAGACACTTCGGGAAAACACTTTCCGCAAGACGTTTTGTTTTGCCCCTGCGTGTGCATTAAGATCCCCTCTCCAGGTCCCACTTGGGCCCCGCCGGTCAGACGCCGTCGGACATTGGGAGGAGTTCGAGTCATACACGCGCGACAGGATGCAGACACTTCGTTGATGGTGTTGCACTATCTGTGGATATTAGGCTGTGCCCTGTGGGTAGCTTGTGATGTTGTGTTACTGCAGACAGGGTGCAGCCTCTTTTAGATTATGAACCATATCATCCCACGAGTATCACGAAGATCTGGCTGTCATTCAGTGGCTGTTATGCTACAAATGCACCAGAGCTTTCAAGTAAGTCCGCCATTGCTTCTCATCGTCTTGGTGAGGATCAAACGTGTGTACCGTGTACCCCAGAAATCCCCAGAAATCAGATGGCTCAGTGCAAGAATGGCCCAGTGGTATCCAAGAATGGAATGAAGTGACAAATGTCCTGCAGAACTTCCCCTATAGAGCCTATAGACCAATCTAAATCATGTATCATCGTGTCGTATTTTTTGGTTTAATCTTCATTTTGAGTGTCAATCCCCATTTTTGATCCTTAAATTATTCCCCAAATATTGGTCAGTTGACTCAGCAGTTTTTTTTGTCGTCAAGAATACTATTATTTATTATATATATGATATATATATACATACGTATATATGTTTAATATATATATATATATGTATAATAATATATATATATGTTTAATATATATATATGTTTAATATATATATATATATAATATGATATATATATAATATGATATATATATAATATGATATATATATAATATGATATGATATGATATAATATAATATAATATGACATAATATAATACAATATAATACAATATAATATAGTATAATATAATATAATATAGTATAATATAATATAATATGATATAATATAATATGATATGATATAATATGATATGATATAATATGATATGATATGATATATACATACAATATAATATGATATATATATATATATCTACTTTTGATGATTAACTTTTCCATGGCAACAGCGGGACCCTGGAAGACCAGGTGGGGAGAAGTGCGACAGTGCTGTGCGCCTGAGTCAATGCATTCGAGCCTTTGCGGTGCTTGGTGTCTTGTCATGTCTCGTCATTTTAAATTACAGGGCAGGGCCATACAGGGCCTCGCGTTTCAGTTTGTCCAAACATCATCTTCGACATTTCACAGTATTACAACATCTCTCTCTCTCTCTCTAGATATATATATATATATATTAATGTGGATAAAACAATCATAAACCATCCCCAAAATCACCATAAATGGGTGGTATAAACTATTCCCAAATGGCTGGTTAATTTTTGTTTTAATCACATTAATTAATTAATTGTACATCCCACAAATCCACTGCTCAATCATTGATCCAAATTTGATCCCCTTCCTACTCCAAATGGGCTCCGGTGCAAGGCAAATCGCAGCTCCCCCCCGCGCAACTGGCGGCAGCTCAGCTGACCCAAAGCGACTGGAGCGGCAGCCAAGGGCGAGCGCAGCTGGCCAAGGTATCGATGGAAAATGGTTGAAAAATGGGTGATTTCACTAGTGGTTTCATGGAAAAGGATGGGTTTAACCAACAAAATTTAGGTAGAAAAAGCAGCAAACATTGGGACATAAACAGGGACATATGGTGGATCCATCTCGGTTTCTTAGGAGTTTCAAGTTGTTTACTTGGTGATTTCTAGGCGAAAGGCCCAGATTTGGGTCCAAAAAGATGGTTGTCAAACAAGACGGAACATGATCTTCTCAACCGTGAGATTTCGGGATTTTCCCCTCATTTTCAGACTTTAGTTGTGGTGGGGACACAACTTCAGTGGAATCTCTGTCCATAGGCATCATCTTCTCAACAGTTGAAGAATGACGGGGTCACCTCACCACTTTTTTAACAGCCAAAGAGAGGTTTGTTTGGAAATGAACCCCCACCAATTGATGATTAGCATTGTTTCCATTAGAATGGTATCTCTTTTGGAGGTTGGACTGCATTTTCAGACACACTCATATATCATATCAAGTCGGTCATGTACCCTATTATATATATACATATATATCCATCCAATTATATCCCGTTATATCTCCGTTTTGAAGGGTTTGTTGCCCCCATTGTTGATGGCAAATCACCCATGATTTTCTCATCTTTGCTGCAAAGATCCCATGAAATCCAAGACCAGATTGGGGCGGGCTCGGAAGGTGCTAGAGCTGGCCAGTCAAAATGCTGAATGGGCGTTGGGACAGGAAGAGGAGGTACAGGTGCGCGGGAAAACATGTTATGAGCCGAAAGTGCAATGAGCTTTTGGTTGTTGGGAAGTCTGTGGATTCTGCATGGCAAAGACACACACACACACATATAAGTATATATAGACAAACATATATCTGAGTGTATATCTGGTATATATATATACATATCAAATATCCATATATATATATGTATGTATGTATACATGTATACATGTATATAAGTATATATGTATAAATGTATGTATATATGTATATACGTAGATATGTAGATATATGTATATGTATCTCTGTATCTATGTGTATATATATATGTATATATATGTATGTATGTATCTATGTGTATATGTATATGTATATATATATATGTATATGTATGTATATATATATATGTATATGTATATATGTATCTATATATATATATGTATGTATATATATGTATATATGTATATAAATGTATATACATGCATACAAATGTATATAAATGTATCTATGTATATATATATGTATATATATATACGTATACATGTATACTTGCATATTATATATATATGTATATATCAATATATGTATATAAGTATATAAGTATATGTGTTTATGTGTAAATATGTATGCATTTATATATGTATCCAATGTAATATATGTATGTAATGCAATGTAATGCAATGTAATGCAATGCAATGTAATGCAATGTAATGCAATGTAATGCAATGTAATGCAATGTAATGCAATGTAATGCAATGTAATGCAATGTAATGTATGTATGATATGGATACATACATATACGTATATGTATGTATATATATAATTATATATATGCATATATATATATATGCATATATATATATATGCATATATATATATGTATATATATATATGTATATATATATGTATATATATGTATATATATATGCATATATATATATATGTATAGATATGTATATATATATGTATACATATATATATATCTATATGTATAGATATGTATATATATATATGTATGTATGTATGTAATGTAATGTAATGTAATGTAATGTAATGTAATGTAATGTAATGGTATGTATGTATGTATGTATGTATGTATGTAATGTATGTAATGTAATGTAATGTAATGTATGTAATGTAATGTAATGTAATGGTATGTAATGTAATGGTATGTAATGTAATGGTATGTAATGTAATGTAATGTAATGTAATGTAATGTAATGTAATGTAATGTAATGTATGTAATGTAATGTAATGTAATGTAATGTTATGTATGTATGTATGTATGTATGTATGTATGTATATATCTATATATATGTATGTATGTATGTATATATATATGTATATATGTATATATGTATATATGTATATATGGATATTTATATATATGTATATATATATGGATATATATATATGTATATATATATATGTATATATATATGTATATATGTATATATATATATATGTACATATGTATATACATATATATATGGTTCCCCACACTGGTAGCCAATCACAACTTCAATAAGGACCTCCTGATCCAACCAAAAGGAGTGGCCGCACTCACCAACCTGTTTTCCAATGGCTGCGCACGAATCTCCAATCGAACGCAGGGCGCCCGAGCCCTCGGCTCCCTGAGCCTGATCCCTTCGGTCCATCCAAGTGTTCACCCTAAGGAAATGTTACCCAAGCAAAGACAACACATTGTCAAGCAAACTCCTCTATGCACTCAAATGTTCGGTTATCAGGTACAGAAAACACACTCCTAAAAAAACTCTTTCTCTGCTTTTTCTTTTTGGGTGAGGGCACAAAATTTTATCTAGTATTGGTGGCATGCCAAAGGAATGAGGAATCCGGGTCATAGAATTCCTACTGACATCTCAAGAGAGACGTGTTTCACCAGCATAGTGGAGCACTTCGGAACAACCTTGCCGGAGACAACGTCCTTTAGGACATTAGCATCAGTGCAAAAACATGCAGGGCGGAATCAGCATTGCTGGACTGCTGGTACCATTGCTGGCGAATTTTTCGATCGGCTCTCTGACGCAGGATTTCATCGATGTCATGAAGGATGCATTTACCATTTTTCAAGAAAGAACGAAGAACACCTGTGTCCATGTCTTTCGTCAAAGAATCAGCCATCTGAGCTGCAGAGTGAACCCATTTTACCAAAACCCCTTCATTCAATCTATCTTTAATCACAAGTGCTTCCAACATGGTGCGGTACTCGGTACATTGTGGGATAGAAGTCTTTTGAAGGAGGTCAAACAAACTTTTACAGTCTACCACTGCGAATGCTTTGGGCAGAGATTTCAAAGCTTCTTCCGGCTTTCTCCAGTTGATATTCGGTTTCAGTATCCATGCCCAATGCAATCTAGTCCAACTCGAAAGGTCTAAAGCTCCTGAGAGAGCATATGTCTCCGACGCAAGAGTGCTAGAAACAACACGGTTGATTTTCTTTGAGAACCAAATGAGAGGGCTGACAGCTGACATCTTAGTTTGATCTATGGCTTCAGTCGTTGCTAAAATGAGGCACCCCTTTTGCGAGTGGGCTTTTTCTCTCGTTGCAAATGCAGCATCTGAAAATGACAAAAAACGAATCTGCTCCAACGGTAAAGATTGAACTTTGATGTTAACATCTGAGAACCGTTTTGCATCCGCCAGTAAACGATTACCATGTAACAAGTCCGCAACTGTGGCACAAGTCACTTTGGCTTGGAGAAGGCTGAGTCTGCAAGACAGGTCAGGTCTCGTGTTTGTAGCAGCATATTGCAGGCTTCCTATCAATCCCCTCAGACCCTGGAGTTCTTGGGGAGTAATTGGACTTTCAGGCATTTTGCGGCGATCTCTGGAAACATCGCTTGGTGGTATGTCATTGATATATTCCTTTTGATTTAGGATTATGTCCCCATTATGTTCTTGGTGAATTTGGACTCCTGTAAACGTGAATGATCCCTGACGCTGGCTACCGAATGGAAACTTGGCTTCTAATGCTTTGATTGCTTGGGCAAACGCAGCATCACCACCCCCAATCCCGTCATCTACGTGGATACCCAGGACACCATGTATGGCGGATGCATCCCCAGACTGACTTTGTTTTCTCGGGAGAACAAACAAACAAGGATCAAATGGGGAAATGATAAAACCAAGATTCAACAGCGCACTTTTCAGTTCACAGTACCACAAGAGCGGTGCATTGATCAAGCCATATGCCCCTTTAAGTAGTTCGCATGCTTCTTCATCTTTCAGCTGCATCTTACAACGTAGCTCCGGAGGAGGTTCAATGCCTAAGATCCTTGTATCTTGTCGGCTGCCACGAAGGAATGCCGTTTTGATATCAAAGGAACGCACTGACCATTTATGGCTGGAGATGCACTGTAAAGCTACCATGCGGGTGTCTCTACCAAGGGTCGGCGAGTCTCTAGGAAGACTGTCAATGTCCGGATCTTCGTATCCAAGAATCACCAGTCGGGCTTTCGCCTTTCGGCTCATGCCACTTTCTTTTTGATCTTGTTCATCAAGATTTTTCCATGTAAGTACCCACCTAGTTCGCAACAACTGACCCTCAGGGATTTGGGATCTGAGAATCTTTCGGACAGTATCTGTCGCTAACCAGGAATCGAGTTCTTTGTCTTTGGCCTGACGAAACAATTTCAGATCTTCGGGGGTTAGATCCTTCATTTTTACTTCCACCTTCTGTCTTTTGGCGGCTGAAGCAAGGTAGATTTCCTGTGTTGCATAAGTCTTACCAAGGCATTTTTGAATGTCTTCCATGGTGAGGATTATATCGGCTTGATACATTTGGTTGGTCGTGGTGGTGGTGGTATGGTAGGACAAATGATGTTCATTGAGGTTATCTTGATTGGTTATGGGGAATTTGGTCATACCAGTCCATGGTTCAGGTAACACTTGATGGCTTTCCAGGTTGCATCTCCAAGTTTCCTCCTTGGAGAAGGTGCTACCAGACGCAAAAACACCGGTGGTGCAGCGAGTGTCTCCCAGGCACGTAGGATCTACAGGGCAGTTCCAAGCTTCTTCTGGGAAAAACATTCGGATTCTGGGTCTAATGTGATGTCGGATGAGGTCTCCACCTTGGATCTCCCAGAAATCCTGGGAAGGATTTTCTACCACTAGTTCATCATCGGTACCTTCAGGGACAGGAATTTCCCAAACCGGGGGAACTTCATTGTTGGCTTCATCAGTCGGTGGCGGTGTTGCGTTGGATGATATGCTCTGAGGTTCAGCATCAGGTTGGTCAGTGGATCTTACTTCATCATTGAGATTGGGAATGTTATTGGGATTATTGTCAGGGTCATTAGGTGGGAGAATTATCGTATCAGGTTCAGGTGAGATATTACGTGAGGGGTTATTCATAGTGGATGGTGGCTCTAAGGGAGGTGCTTGATGTGAAAGTTCTCGGAATTGGAATACCCCTGTACCACTGCGTTCAGGAAGCTGGAAACTCTGTTGATCACTGGGAGTGATGGCTTGGGCTTCGTCCGCAGACAGCTTTCTAATGTGTTCTGGTGCACATCGGAATAGTCGGGTCAAATGGCTCACCCACACAAGATTGCGGTCTTCGATCATGAGGATTTTTCCGGGCCCATGCCACGAACCAACCTCAGTGCCCTTACCTTCTCTCCAGTACATTACATAATCTCCAATCTTGCTGTTGAGCCGGTCTGGCCTCGTGCGAGCATGCAAAGCTCGGCGCAGTGCTGCACTGTGGTCGGCCCGCACAAAAGCTATCCGGGCAGCTTCACGGCGTGCCAGTGATGCATGGAATTTGGAACCCTCGGTGGATTCACTTTCAAGGCCAAGGTATCCGGCACTGTCCAGATAGCCATGTGACACGCTACCAGGCACCGGCTTCATCTTACCTAACACTAGCAGTTCAGGCGTGAAACCCTCATATCTGGACATGGCATTTTTGGCATTGCACAACTGTAGTAAACCTTGGGAAAAGTCTTCGTCACTACAGATTGGATGCTCCATGTGATATTTCTCGATCATGTGTTTGAGAACAGAAC